TTCTAAAATTCCCTGCAAAACAATGAATGAGGCGAATTTTCTAATAAAATTAATTTTGTCATTTTTGGCTGAAAAGACCCCATGATTGTTAGGAAGCATGAAAAGCGTCAGGAAATAATGTTTCTTTGCGCTTTTGGTTGAACACTTTTAATATTGTTTTGCTAAAAACACTAATGATTTTTTGGGAAAAAGCGGGAGGAATTTATGTTAGTTTTTCTCCCGAATTCGACACAATTCCTGCAAAGCTATATATTTATCTTGCAAATTTTTGCATAAAAGATTTCCAGATTGTCGGCACCTTTAGGTGAAACTTTTCAAAATAGAGTGTTTTTGAGTAGAAACTAAAGCAAGGAAAAAATTCAATCTAAACTAAAAAACCACAGTTTTTAACAAACTCTACCGTCTTAAGAGGAACGGGGGTGACGAATTTTTTGAAAAATTTATTATAATTTTTCACCTAATCTGTTCATTTTCTACAAAAAATATTTGATTTTGGTCACAAAATCGAAGCTGGAGCTTTCAAAACTTTTTACAAAGCGACGAAGGATTCGAAATTTATTTGATAATTTATTGCAGAAAATACTTCAGATTGGCAGTATTTTAATACTGACGTTGAAATAAATCTAAAAACAACCGCAAAAAAGGCTCCTCAACCTTTTCCCAACAACGAAACCGAGTTGCTGCGCCGATGAGTTGGGCAGCACTGCGTCAACGCCTAAAAATCCACTGAGTTACCCAGGCCTATCATAAACTGATTAGTAGTGTTTCGTTGTTTTAAACCTTAAATTCCTGATAAAATTTTCAAACAGTTTAAGGACGATTTATTGCGAAAACTCTGCCGAGCCCGCAAACACAGTCTTATAATAACTTAAACACACCCAATCAGGGAAAGTTGTTTCAAAAAGTACATACAGAGTGGAGCTCAGTGCGCAAACGGCTGTTTTTTCAAGCGGGCGTTTTGAACGAAAAAATCTGCATTATTTTTATAGAGCGAAACAAGACTGAAACCAACTCCTGAAGAGATTGTGAAGAGTGTAAAGGCACAAACCAGAGAGAAAAATCTTTAAAGGGAAATAAGACTGAAAGAATTGAACTTAACGAAACAGTGAACCTGAGTGAAAACGCAATGAAAAAAGGGCTAAAGTCAGAAAACTCAGGAAAATACTTACCAAAAATACCGCGATTAAACTTTTTTGAATGAGAGTCCTTATTTGAATGTTGTTTCATTTAAAATTACCTTAATTTGAATCCTTTTATACTTGTAAAGTAGGAAACAGTGGATCGTTTGTGTATCGTTTATCTTGTAGAGTACAACAAGCAAGAAAAAAAATAATGAGGTTCCCACATGAAATGAACCGAAAAAAGAAAGAAAGATGAAGAAATGAACCGAAAAAAGCCGGAACCGAAACTGAACCGAATTGGGAAATATTTTCTAAACCGGAACGTAAATTTAAAATGTTGCCTTGGAGCGAAACCGAAACAGAACAGTTATTTCTATTCACTCCGGGTCCTCGGCCGCAACTATGAAAACTGCGGAAAACTAAGGAAAAATCGGACCAAAATTCGCATTAGTTTACCTTACGACTGGACCACCTTGAATTTCCACTCAATTGACCAAAAATAGTGGCGGAGGAAAGAAGATGATGAATTAGCCTTGCCTTAACAACTGCGTCGTTCTGCACTCAGTTAAGCCCTCATAATTACAATTAAGAACTCCAATTTAGAAGTTCGTCCTTCCAGTTAAAAATCCGTTCGATCAATGCCGAAAATTGCGAATCATAATTAATACACCGGCCCTCGGAAGGAAAACAGTAATATTTCTAAATAACAAACGATGTCGCCGTCCATAAATTGAGCCTTATACCTATTTTAATATTAATTGTTGCTTGTGCTCGACTGTCGAAGTGAAACGTGCCCTAACAAGCCTGTAGATGGAGAAGCGGAAAATTGTTAAGCCTTATTAAATTTCCAGTCGATGAACTGGAATGGGATCTTCATAACAAGTGATCGAGATTTCTCAGCCAGCTTATGTTGTTTGCCTGGATTGATGGGTCTTTGTGACGTCTTGGGATCTCGAATTTTAATCAGCATATTCTTCAGTTAGTCGCGCTGTTCTCTGTTCCTGTTGTATATAATTTTTGGTTGCGGCTGTTATAAATGGCTAAATCAAGTGGCCGCTATCAACTTCATAAAGACATTCTTCCTAATTTTTCAAAGGATTAAAAAATGGTTTCGGAGAGTTGACGATGAGAAAATAACAGCGCCGCCTGCTAAAGTTGCGTCTTGAATTTCTCAGCAATGCATAATGAGCTGCTAATTAACTTTCCGTGCTCTTAGTGCATACAAGCAAATTTCTTTATTGCCCGCACTGCAATTAAAACCCCAACTTTCTCCAGCTAATCCCTTAATGGAAACTGGAAAATGGATAGGGTTTCTTTTAGTTCGCCATGTAGACTCATGCAATTTGGCAGGATTTAATTTTCCAGCCAGCAGCTGCCAGATGTGGCTAATGTGGCATACTGTATTGCACCTCTTTGTAATAATGTTGGCAGTGTTTTCATGCAACTTGATGTGCGCCTAATTCACAGCCGTATAGAAAATGTTCCAACATTAAAACACGAATGCTGGCCGAGCAAATGCAGCTTCTTTTTGAAAGTCCGGCGGAGTTCTAAATGATAATGCGCCAGTCATAGAAGGGAGCGGAATGTTGGAAGTTGCCTGGACGGGCGAGGATTAGACTAATTCATAAAGGAAGCATCGCAAAATTCCTCTTTGAACTGGCCAAGCTCACTTGCATGCACTCAATGAGTGTCCAGGGGGGATTTTCCTGCAAAAATTAACAAACCGGTGGCTAATGAAAGTTAATTAACGACATTCTGAGTTTGATTTTCCTGGCACTTGCTTGGACTATGCCTTGGACAAAGTTGGCAAGCAGCTGCAGATTTTATTTTTCCATTTAAGTAAGCATCTTTATTAGTATGAAGTAGAGGTGTGATAAACGGTTATTTTTCTGTAACGGGTTACAACGTTCCAGTTCCACCTTGGTAATAGGTTCCAAAAGACAGATGTTACTTTTTAAATTTTTGATAAAAAATTCGGTATGATGATTACAGTAGAAATAGTGATCAGATATAATGATTTCCTTTATTAAAAACATAATTCTTATCAAATCAAAATTAATTCCTGGGTTTCAGTCATTTATTGTCTTCATTTATCAATTAAAATACGTTTCGGTGTATTTTTCCACCATAATCAGTTTTTCTAAAATAATGTAGTTAAAAAAAAATCATTAATTTAAAAAACAATCACAGTTCGTCAACAGCCTCATCATATCACAGAATATGAAAAACATATGAAAAACTGATTATGGTGGAAAAATACACCGAAACGTATTTTAATTGATAAATGAAGACAATAAATGACTGAAACCCAGGAATTAATTTTAATTTGATAGGAATTATGTTTTTAATAAAGGAAATCATTATATCTCATCACTATTTCTACTATAATCATCATACCGAATTTTTAATGAAAAATTTAAAAAGTAACATGTGTCTTTTGGAACCTATTAACTAGGTGGAACTGCAACGTTGTAACCCGTTACAGAAAAATAACCGTTTATCACACCTCTACTTCATACTAATAAAGATGCTTACTTTAAAGCTATGTTCTTTTAGAAAAACTGATGATGGTGGAAAAATACACCGAAACGTATTTTAATTGATAAATAAAGACAATAAATGACCAGGAATTAATTTTGATTTGGAATAGAAACACAGTCAGGAAAGTATATACA